ACACCGTAACTTAGTTTGACTCAAGCCCAAGGCCCAATCCAAAGGCCTAAAAGTCTAAAAATTAACCAAGGCCCAACTATGGCCTAATTTTCCAAATTGGGCCCAAAACTCTACATAGAATTCCCTTAAGGCCCAATTGTTCAGTCCAGTCCAACATGTCTCGTTCTAAGGGCCCAATATCATACAACCATCTAGGCTCAAACTATGGCCCATCTATGGCCCAATTTTCGAAATCGGGCCCAATCCTTCATATGGGCCTTACCCTAAATCCCAACTAATTTCATCTAGTCCATTTGATTATTCTTGTATGGCCTATTAATAAACCAAATACCAAAGCCCAATCAAAGGCTCAACTCAAGGCAAAAGTGAAATTACGGTTAAACACAACATGACGATTAGGGTTAAGTGTTTCTTACTTAATCCATTAAGTCATTTACTCTACTATATATGTGATATGGAGTGATTGGGCTTAATACATAATCTAATCCCAATGGCCCAAATACTCACAGTTAGGGTTTTCCACCCAAACATGGCCCAATAGGCCCAAAACTAATCTTTAAGCCCATTAGGGTTTTGCTAGGTCCATTAGGGTTTTGCTTGTGGGGCACCACCCACTACCACATCGGGTAGTGGTGGTCAACGAAGGCACATGGTGGTGGCCACCACCTTACGGTGGTGGTTATTATTGATAAAGGTCAGAGTTCATCGACAAGGAAAAAGTTCGACAATGGCTTTTGAGAGCTACGATTGCCAGTTAGGTTTTGAAGTCATACTCAATAATAGTTTTAGACTTATCCAAGTGGGAGACTGTTGGATTAGTGTCTAAGTCCATAACTATTATTGGTATGTACTTGACCCGACTCGGCATGGTCTATTTGGGTTGCATGGCATCAGAACATTTGGATAGATTGTTTGTTAGAAGAGGACATTTGTGACATATTAATATATTATAAGTTCTAATATATTAATATGAAATCATGTTATTTAATTAGTATTGATCAAGAATTAATTTGGACTTAATTTAGTGATCAAAAGAGACTAATTAAATATATGAGGATTGATTGTGTAAATCATTCATTCTTATATATGTGGGCTTATGATCCATGATTCCTTATGTTGGGTTAAACCCATGTGGTGACCCATGGATACTCCATGGAGGTTAAAACCCATGGAGCATAAGGAATGGGTAAAGTCATGGGTTACATGGTGTAACCCTAATGTGCACACTATATAAGGACCCCTTTAGCTCAAGAAATTGGCACTAGTGATACATATATGAGGGCTAGCCGATTTGAGCATGAGTATCTTCTTCTCATGGTTATTACAAGTGTTGATGATGTTGTGTGAACCATTTGAGGTGTCACACTTGGGGCACTAGGCTCTCAATCTTCATGGAGTCAAGCTACATCAACAAGACATGTATTCTATCTATTTTATTACCCAAGTATCAAAGATTGTATGCTAGTTAGGGTAATACCTTGGAATATTCATATTTGCATGTATAATAGAGAAAACATAGATCCAAGATATTTAGGGTTGCATGTACACCATAGGAGTGTTAGAATGCTCAAAACCCAACACATTCCAGTATGCCTCACTTTGAGCTCTTATATGAGAGGAGGTGCCGGACTCCCATCTGTTGGGGAGAGGTAGGGCAGAGAGTGACGACTCTTATATGTTGCCCTTGGCTGAGTTTTCATACAACAACGACATAACAAATCCAACAGGTTAGAAAAAGGTTACTGACAGTCCAGAGCCGTCAGAAGAGTTACGCCGACCGATGCCATTTAGAGATAGAGTTTCAGATCGGAGATTTTGTCCTCCTGAAGGTATCCCCATGGAAAGAGGTGACCCGATTCAGTAAACGGGGCAAGTTGGGCCCTAGTTACATTGGTCCTTTCAGGGTGATCACCCGAGTTGGTAAGGTAGATTATCAGTTGGAGTTGCTTGCAGAGTTGAGCCAGATTCATAACACCTTCCACGTATCCCAGCTGAGGAAGTGTGTAGCCGATGAGACGACAATGGTCCCTTTAGATAACATTCAGATTGATGAAAGCATGAACTATATTGAGAGATCGATGGCGATCTTGGATAGAAGGTGAAGGTATTGAGGAATAAAGAGGTGCCCTTGGTTTAGGTTCAATGGCAACATCGAAAAGGATATGAGTGTATTCAGAGCCAGAGTCCGAGATGCAGGAGCAGTACCTAGAATTGTTTCCAGATGATGAATTTGATGGCGAAGTCTGATTCTAGTGGGGGAGAATTGTAACATCCCGAATACCAGGTATAATATCTAATTAATTTACATTCATAATTTCAGAGTAATTCGACGAGTTGGATGCCCCAACTCGTCGAGTAGGGAGGTTAATGGCTCCGTGAATTTTAGAGTCTACTCGACGAGTTGGAGGACCCCAACTAGACGAATAGGTGCTGAGTGAGAAAACCCTAATTTTCAGGGTTTGTGTCCTATTTAAAGGACCTTAAGCCTCCATTTCCGCCTCCCTTACCACCCTATGACTCTGTGAGAAACCCTATTCGAGCTATAACATTGTGTGAGAGAAAGAGAGGCTAATATTGTGTGTTTTTAGTGCGCTTTTGGAAGGAGGTTAGAGAGCAACAAGGCTTTGAACGAGGAGGGACTTTTGGATCTGGTGTTCTTCAGTGTTAGCTTCTTTTTGGAGGTCAAAAATTCACCACCTTGATCATTTCTTTTGTTAGATCTCTTTCTAGGGAACTTTAGGGCTTTCTCCCATCCATCTTTTGGTTATTGAGTCATTTGAGCATGACATGAAGTTAAAACATCAGATCTGAACTGATGAGGTCCTTTGTGATGGGTTTTGGCCATATGAACATTCCTATGTGCACATACAAACCATAATGCTTGGATCTAGGTTTCTCTAATTGAACATGCATGAATCCAAGACTTATAATGGTTATTCTAGCATAATAACAGAGAGAAATCAAAGTTATAAGTTCACCTTGAATCACTTGTTTGATCTTTTTGTTCTTGGAGCTTTAGAGTCACAATTGTCACTCCTCTAATGGCTTACAAACACCAACTAGCAAGAGGATGATTTGAGAGAGTGGGGAATGACTTTGAAATCGACCAGGGCTTCTCTTGAAACAAGAGTGCCGATTTCCATGACCCCAAGGGTCTATTTATACTTGTAAGGCTCCTAGGGTTTTACCTTTAAACCCTAATTGGATAACTTAAGCCCTAAGCAATCCTAATCCCTTCATGATAACCCTTGGACGATTTTAGGTCTATCCTAAGCCATAAAATCGTCCACCATATTATCCATAAGGAATTATAGCCTAAAGTACAACTATCACACATTTGACAGTTTAAGCCCTTCTATTTAATTAATCTCTTTAAGTCACCAAATTAATTCCTAATTAATTAATGACTTATATTAATCAAATAATATTATTATTCCATATAATATTTCAACTCTCATTGTAAATCATCCTATCAAGTTGCTATGGTGAAGGCAACCCAAAAGGATCATGCTTAATCGGGTCAAGTACTTACCAAATATAGTTGCAGCCTTAGACACTATTCCAACACTTTGAGCCTAAAGATCCAAGATTTATCAAGCTAGTGACAAGCTTTTATCCATTAAACCCCATATAGAGCTTATTATGGCATTTCGAGCCCTAAATGCCATACATGGACGTAAAGCTTGCAACTTTACATGGTATTTCAGCTTTGGGACGCTATATCTAGAGTTTGGGACATTATTTTATGCTTATAATCGTGTGAATGACAATTGGTCTAGAGGGACTCGACGAGTGCATGAGCCAACTCGACGAGTCAGCTAGGGTTTCTTGACGGACTGGACGCGCTACAACTTGGCGAGTTGATGAGACAACTCGACGAGTTGATTTGGATTTCCCGATACTTCAAAGAAAGCGAAGGAACTCAACGAGTCGCATAGATGCACTTAACGAGTTTAGTCAACATGGACTGTTGACTTGAGCGTTGACTTTCGTTGACTTTTAGGGTTTGGTCAACTGTGGACCTTGGAGACCATAGAGGGGTAAAATGGTCTTTTCACCCTTTTTGAGATTTAGTGGAGGAGTTAGCTTAGCATCTCGGAGTGGTTATTACAAAATGCTTATTAAAGATAATTATATTACGTACGCGGAGTCTAGCATGTTTGTGGGGGTACTAGATCTACTTGCTTACTTCTGAGGCGAGTCTTCTTACTATACTTACCTGAGCGGTAATACTGTATGACCGGAGGGTCCTATATGATTATATTGAGTTATGTGATATTATGCATTTTGTCTTTGTGATGTATGCTATATTATTCTGTGCTTTACTAAGTTAGGACTGGAGGGTCCAAACCGAGTTGTGAGGCCGGAGGGTCTTCACTGAGATATAAGACTGGAGGGTCCAACCCGAGCTGTGAGACCGGAGGGTCCTCACTGAGACACATGACCGGAGGGTCTACACCTAGCCGTGTGACCTGAGGGTCCTCACCGAGACACATGAGACCGGAGGGTCCATGCCGGGTTATAGCCATGAGAGACGTATTATTTGTGTATGTGGTATTTTAGGGAACTCACTAAGTTTTGTGCTTATCGTGTTTTGTGTTATGTCTTTCAGCTACTTCTCAGGATCGCGGGAAGGCGCCGACTTGATTGTACACACCTGCTTGAGACCATGTCAAGGATTCTGGGATATTATCTGTTGTTTTGTTGAATTTGTTTTTGACATTGATACATTGCAGTTTTGAGAAAATGTGATACTGATTTTATGTGGTTTAGAAATAAAAAATTTGTTTGACATTTTAGAGTGTTACATGTTGTAGTAATCACAACAATAAAAAAAACAAGATAACAGATAAACTCCCAAAATATAACCTGAACAAACAAGTGATAGAGCGTGTGAAACTTACAGTGCTCCATAAATACACTCTACAAAACAACAAAGTAGTTTATCGTTAGGTCTATCAAGATCGATAAACTTAACACCGAACAGAAACGACATTCAAATGCCAACGAACACCATAAACCACTCAGATTGCACCGTTTGCGCTCTTGAGGTTGACTGTGGCTTAACCTTAGCCGTTGGAGGTAACAATATATTAGATCTAATGTTTACTCTCAAGCCAATGTTTACTCTTAAGCAAGGACGATGTCTGAGATGAAGTTTATAGAACCACATCAAAGAACAACCAGGAACAACCCTGATTTAATCCGAATCAAAACACAGATCGAGAAGAAGACTCGATAAAAGACCGAAACCCTAACTCGATGAACAAAAGAAACCCTAACTCGAAGAAGAGAAGAAAACCCTAACTCGACTCGGGAACAATAATCAGATGAACAAAACACGACACATGACTTAAACCTGCTATGATACCATTTTCAAAAATTTAAAACAAAACACAAAGAACAAATTATCACAACATCAACATGTCTTTTCATTAATGAAAAATAAGATCCAGTTGATTTTTTGGAAACTTACAACTAAAACCTCACCTATACAAAACTCTCACACTCAAACAAGAATGATATACAAGACTCTGATTACAGACTCAACAATGACACAGGAAGAGAAATGCTAATCTAAACGAAAAAGACAAGTGGAAAAAGAGAGCTAAAATATCTTATGCAAAGTGTGTGTTATGAAAAAATGATCTATCTCAGCTGCAAACAAGTATATATACCTCGGGTATAATACCCGGTTTAGGTCCGGTTTAACCCAGATCCAAACCCTCAACCATACCCGAATAAAAGTTTGCGTGTATATGCAGAATTTCAAATAGTGAGCTGCCATCCCGAAGAAGCATTAAACAACAAACCACACCCTGTACAAAAAATTTACTCACAAAATACATCCAAATAAATTACACTTTTTACCCTGATAATAAATATTTTTAACAATTTTAATCTTGACAAAAAAAAAAAACCTTTGATATTTCGACATAAAGGATGTGAGGGAGTTTATAGAAAATGAAAAGGAGGAGAACTTGTGTTTTGTAATTTAAAAAAAATAAAAAAGTAAAATAGTGTCTTTTTTTAATTTTTTTAATTTTTTTTTTTTGGGGAATTGTGTTCGTGGGGAATTAAAGGAAATCGATCATGGTCGAAAAAAATAAAAATAATTAAATATGTAAAAATTAGTTTAATGGTAATCATATATGAAACCAATATATTTTTTTCTTTGAAATAATGAATTTAATGATAATTCTTAAACACATAAACAGAATAAACTTGGAATACCCGATAAAAATAAATATTTGTTGAACAACAAATATAAAATAATGATCGTATAAAAAAATAACTAAATCTGTACAGAATTTAGAGTTTGATAGATCCTTTCACTCATTTTCCATAATACTAGTTTATAAGTTGAAAGAACAAAAACAGGGTTTAGGGGAGACCTTTCAAGGCACGCTAACACACCATTTTTCTTTGATTCTCTCGCTGAAGATACAGATATACGGATTTCAACTTCGATTTGCTTCTGAAAGAGAGTAGAAGAACTAAAGACCAAATTAGTTCGTTTATCATCAGTGTTTGCATCTTAAAAAATCATCTTCAACAAAAAACCCCATTTCCCTAGATCATATGTGTGTCCGTAAGTTTAAATTTCAGTTTTCTGTAATTTCTTGATTGTGAATTTCTCCAAAAGACAGGTAAGGGTTAAAGAAACAAGCAGTTGATATATTTACATATCACAGTATGTGTTTTTGTGGGTGAAAACGAATAGTTAATGTGAGTTTTTTTCTTTGCAAGTCAATTTTGATTCTTCTATCAATTTTATTGATTTGGATTTGCCCGAAAAGGGAAGAAAAAGGTTGAAAAGCAATCAATTCCTTGATTTTCAAAACTGTGTGTTCTATGTGTCTCTGTGTAAGTTGATAGATAATGTGTGTTTTTTTATGATATCTTTTTGCGGGTATCTTCAAGTCAAACTCTGACGTTTCTGTTGCTTTAATTTCTTGATTTGTGTTTCTTCAAAAGCAAGGGATTGAATAACATTTAGTCGAGTGATCTACAGATCAAAGTTTGTGTTTTTGTGTGTGGCAATGGATAGGTGATGAGTGTTTCTACATTTTTCTTGTGTATGTGTGTCTGAAAGTCAAACATTGACTTTTGTGTTACTTTCTTCATTTAGGGTGTCCCGAAAGGGAAGAAAAGGCTTGAAAAAACAACCAACTGCTTGATCTACAAATAGCCGAATGAAAGTTTTTGTGTGAAATTGTTTTACTAGTGTGTGATTTATGGTGTTGTGTTTCCTGTTTCTATAAAAATGAAGACTTCCTGACACGAACAGGTTGAAAGCTGATAATCTGTATCCTTCAGTGAGAAATCTTGGGTTTTTGTTACTTTATTGATTTGGGTTTCCTCCAAAACTGTAACTTGAGGGTTAACGAACCAATTTCTTGACCCACAAATCACAGTGTGTGTTCTTGAAGTGCGTGAAAATGGAGGAAAACACCAAAACACCATCAGCTGAAGAGCTATTAAGAAAGATCCAGGAGCTAGAAAA